TAAAACAAAACATAAAACAATAATCAAGTATCAAACGATACTTTAAAACAAACCAAGTATCAAAGCGATACTTAAAACAAAACATAAAACAATAACCAAGTACCCGTACCGGTTACAATATTCCTAAAAAGTCATAATAATTATCAACATCAATAATTGACTTTCCTGTAACTCCACACCTAGCAGAAAAAGGATCAGAAACAACAGGCAAAAAAAGACAATGAGTTTGACTATAAAAACAACCAGTCATCATCTGGCTAATCCCTCTCTCCCCTCTCCTAGCTTTAGGTTCAATACAATCCTTATTCCATTTCTCATATGGGTATCTGAAAACCTATTTTCTCCTCTTTCCTCCTCCCCTTTCCACAGCTACCTCATCCCTCCACATTATCTTCCTTCTCCACATCTCCTTTGTCCAATACCTATGAGCTAATACCTATTCTAACCTCTCTTGAGCTAGATCCTTATCCAAATAAACTCTTTCTTATGCCGTCCACTTTCTAAGATTTTTTTTTTTATGTCTTCTTATTATCCTACTACTAGTAGAAACATTAGGAGCAACTTGCTTAGTAATGTCAGAATAGGTACAGTGCCTTATCAGAAGTGGTTGTGATTGTCTTACCAAGCAACCTTACCAAAATTGCCACCTCGTCAAATGTCACCTTGCTGATCATGCCATTGTATAATACCTACTCTATGCAATATTTACACTATGATACCGTAATTGTCTATTCGAATAATTCATTAATTTTAATTTTCTCTGAATTTCCAATAGTTAACCGATCCAGATATAAATTAAAGTCAAAAAAACAAACCTAAAGACTACTCGTACTGAAAAGACCAATGTGGAAAAAGGCATAATCATTGGATTTTTCCACTGCCTCTAGAATATTGCTCTGGTTGCTCAAATTATTGGCCAACTATGGTCAACTATTAAAAGCTTCCTTACTCATGTATGTGAGCGTCTATTCTTGGATAATATTCCTTGTCCCTGTCCTATACCAGTTCTCAGCCAGCAATAGCATTACACAATCATCTGGGCTGCCAAATCCAACCAGAAAATGACTAGATCAGATTTTAGGAATAAATATGCGCTGGGTGTTTCTCTTTCTACTGGTTGGTACCCATCTGAGCCGGAGTGATAGAACATGATTTTCTAACAAATTTATAGTAGATAGAGTACTCAGAAATGCCAATATTAAGAAATGGCTAGTCAAGTCAAAACCCAAGCTCAAAGCTGTCCATATAGCTAAGAGACTAAGATGGGCTACAACTCATAGGAATTGGACAGCTGAGGATTTTAAGAGTCATCTGGAGTGATGAGTACAGTATGGAGAAATCCAGGAATTCAAGGCAGGTGTGGGTTTTCAGAGAACCTGGAGAGCAGTAGCTTGCAGACTGTATTCACTCAAAGGAAAAGGATAAGGGTATTTTGCTTATAGTATGGGAGTGCTTCTGGGGTAAGAGAAAATGTCCTTTGATTTCTATTACCCAAAATATCAACAAGACCAGGTATGTTAGACTCTTAAGAAGACATCTTTTTCCTGTAATTTATCAAATGATTTCCTTTGATATGCAACTTGAAGATATTCTTTTTCAGCAAGATAATGCTCCTGTTCACAAGGCTTGTAGTGTTATGAAATGGTTTGAAAGGAATTCTATTGAATTGGTGGAACACTCCTCTTACTCCCCTGATTTAAATACTATTGAGCATGTATGGACTGAGCTTAAAATGCGATTACGCCAGCAGTATCCAAGGATTGGAGATACACAAGGAGGAAAAGAAACTGTTAAGAGGCTTGTACAAGTATTACCTTTAGTTTGTGAGACAATTCCTGAGGAGTTTTTTGAAAAGTTGTGAAAATCAATGCCTGATAGAGTAGCTGCAGTATTGGAAGCAAGGGGAGGTTCTACAAAGTATTAGCTAGCTTTATTTATTAATATTTTACTCTAAAATATATATAGCAGATCATTGATCATTAACTATTGATCATTGAGAAGTGGTAGTTGAGGATTGATCATATACTCGCATGCACATAAGCATAAGTGCCATTGCCAATACCACCCCCTGGTCTCATGGCACAACCATAATTAAACATGTATCAGATTACAAACATTTCTGACGAGGCACTGTATATGTAGTCCACGAACACTCAGACGTGAAATATAAATATTGAAGTTCCTCCCAACCTTTTAGACATCATCAAGCAATGAACAAGAGACGTAACAGTATAATATTATCTTCAGAATTCTATTCTACTTTACCTACTTTACTTCGCTCTTAGTGGTCATAAACAAAATGAGTAAAATTGAGCCTTCCTAGACAATCTCCATCTACAGAAATGAATCTTAATTGGTCCAGACAACTCTGAAGTCAATCAGGTTGTCTCCACCTAACAGTGACTTCTGCCTCCTGGATAAAGTTCTTCTTGACAGCACAAGACAAGACCAGCAAAAAATGTAGAGCAGACATGGCAGAGGCAGTAGAGGCTTACCTAGCTATTGTGAATGTGTGGAGGCGACTAAAGTGAACCACTGTAAGGATAAGTAGAAGGAAATAAGAACTTCCAACAAATATAGAGGAATGGATAACAACGAAGCCCAAAACCAGTACTTAAGGTTAAAGACTTGAAGCCTATCATGAGATAGAAATCAAAGGCTCTGATTGGTTGAAGGTAGACCTTCACATTTCAAGACGTAGTAAAAGTAAGGACAAGGAAATTACTTACAACAAAGCATGAAGAGCCTATTCTCCTTAGCCATATCAGCCTCCTTATATAGTGCTATTCGTGCCAACCCTAACCCTGATGACTCACAATTGTGAGTCTCATGAAAACCTTATAACAAGTCATATGACTCAAATGAGTCACATGTACAAAACCTATGACATATAATCAAGCCATGTACAAAACATTACTAATCATATGTGTAAAGCGTATGTATAAAGCATGCTTACAAAGTGCAATTCCCATGACTCTTAATTGGGTCTTGTGCGAAACATAATAAATCATAATATAAATAACTCCTATGACTCCAGTGAGTCATATGTGTGAAATCTGTAACTCATAATTGAGTCACATGTGAAATCCTGTTACCTCCATGATAACATATATGAAATTTATCACCACAATCAAGCCCATACTAAGTGGTACAAATTTTGCTGTATTCTGAACACTATACCTCATTCTCACAACAAGACTTTTCCTATTGTAATGTCATAATCAATTAGGATTTTACATTTTAAAATAGACTGAATATCTTGACTAATTATGGGATAATATTTATTATAAGATTATTGCTTGTTATATTTGTTATATAAATAATTGTTAGAGTAAATCTTATAGATGATTCTAATATAATAATAGTAATAACAAGTATTAAATTTTTACATTAATATTTTTTAAAGTATTAAGAATTATAGTTCTATAATAATATTATTAATATTAAGAAAACTAGAAATAAATAAGTTAAAAGTATATGATAGTAGTAATAGGAGATTTTTTTCTATTATAATATTATATAACTATTCATAATAATTTTTACTAAAAGAGCGTGTAAAACCGAAAACCTAACTCTTAGGCCTTTTTCCTGTGTCTGGGAAAATGAGTTACAACCAAAGCAATCAAGTCAGGATAGTTTTGAAATCAATGAGTTTTTTGTCAATAATCTTTTTAAATAATTCACCTAATTTAAAAAAAAGTTTAATATTAATCTAGAGCCAGGAAAATTCAATTTAGTGTTATTTAGTCAAATTTATAAATAAATATTTTTCAACCAAGTTGTATTTATAATGTTTTATCCAATCATTTATTATTTGTACTCGGTGGACAGTCATGCTTCTCACAGTACAAAGTAATAATAAAACAGGAGGAACAATTTACCACAAACTGAAATAGCTCAACAACTACTTAATGTTTAACTATTATTATTGGTTGAATATGAGTACAAGAGACTAAAGTATTTTTACATGATAAAAAGTCAGTTGTGAGTGTTTTGTGTATTTTGCATAGAACAGCTACTTCAGAGGTTGTTAGTGCTTTAAAAATATTTTCTGAGCTATTAGATATATACTCTACATGGCTAGCTAAGTATTTAGGTAAAAATAAATATTTTGTGGTCAAGGTCTGAGAGTCAGGTTTTTACTTGTACAGGCTCAAAATATAAAACTTATTATAAGCATAAACTTAAACCTAAATTATGAGACATTTGATATTTCCAGATCTTGTCCTCTGAATTCGGTTGAGAAATTATCATATATAAAATGCCCCTTTAAGTTCTATAGGAATAATGATTTCTTATATGCTTCCTGGAATTTCTACGTATTTTTACCTATATACTTGCTTTCTAACTGGCCTAAAACATCACGAAAATCCTTGTAGTTCAAAACAGGTGCCTACCAAGCAATTTTCAAACTATCATAACATCTTCAATCACGGACTTTCCAAACTCAAATTTTGCTGACATCTCTCTATATGACACTCTCATACCACCTGAGTGCTAGAATTGCTGAGAAGAGGGACTCCAGGTACCTCTCCCCTCTCCTCCGATATATTGTTGCTGGCATTCCGTTGCTTATCAGAATTTCTCCCGAGTGTATAACCGAATCTACTATCCATTCAAGAGATATGGATAGGCGGGAATGGATTTTTCCTTGGTGAATCTATTCACATCGCTTTGCTCGGCGTCTGTTAAACTGTGCATTTATTGGGTCGCCGATAACTGCTGTGCGAGGGATGTCTGGGTTCACCGCGCACCGCTGGAATTTGTCATCTATGATACAAGTATGAATACCACCCGGGTGGGGTATGCATCCTTGGCAGATCGTCCGCTTACCCCGAACCCTAACTCCTCCCGACCCTTATGCTGGCATCATATCCCTATCATATCTTCCACCACCCCCCCATTCAAAATACTTTAGCTACGGTACAGGGCTCGGACTGCCCCGTCTCCGAAACTATTTCCATATTATAGTATCACTTCTTCGTCCGGTGAGCTTCAATCAACCCTCGAGCGATCAATATCTTGGCCAGTCGTTGCGACTCCTAGCCCCTCTTCTCAACCCCAATCGCTTCAATACCTTACACGTTTTCTATTCACTTCCATTGCCCGCTATCGGCTCAGGTAAACAAGTCTGTCTTATGGGGAGCAACCACCGCCACACGATTTACGCCCCGGAAATTTGGAACGACACAGCAACTTACTGAGCTTGAGTAGCGCGCGCCATCATAACAAACCCTTCGCACCACATATCTAACTCGTACCATCACATACTCAAATGCCCCGGTACCGAAAGCTTCCACCCATCTCCCGAACTCCAACGCCACCCCCCGATTTTCTTCGACGATTACGGCCCTTCAGCTGCAACCCTTTTGAGCCGGTAGAGGAGGATAGTCAGGATCGAGACGATGGCGATGACGAAGATGTGAATGTCACGCCAACGAGCTCTGCTAGTCACTCATTTCCTTTGATCAAGGGGGTCCGGGAGCCTAAAAAACAGTATCCACCGGTTGGAAAAGTCCCTGCCGGAAGATCGAAACGCCAAAGAATTGAGAAACAACCGCAGGTTGAGGAGGCCTCGCCAGATATCGTCTTGGAAAATGAATCAGTTTCAGAGTGGGATATTCTTGGGTCAATCTTTGTTGCCGGAGGTTTCTTGATGATGGGTAACGGGTTTGGCGAGAGGGAAAGTGGGGAGGACGAGGTTGGGGAGAGGGAGGATGAGAATTTTTCTAAGTCTGGAGCTACGCAGGTCATGAACGATACTCAGTCTACTGTTGCGGGAGCAGGTGGAGAGGGTAATTTTCGAGGAATGGGAGGAGCGAGGGTGGATAGTTTGCAGAGCAGTGAAGCACAGACTACGGCGAAATGTCCACAAAGACCTGATGTCCGGCACACTTACAACATAAACTCCATCGTCAAAGGCCGCTTCCACACCGCTACTCCATTTGAGCTTGAGGAATCCTCTGAAGTCTTGGATGTTGGTGCTCGCGATACCGGGGAACTGATTTTAAGTGGAACAGATAATCATGACGACGGTGAGACAGGTCCTAATGACTCCAATCCAACAGCCTCCCCTGCGAAGCTAGTTGAAGACAGTGGAGATTTCGGAGATGCTAGAAAACACGCTCAACCTACAGCTCCTCTGTCCCCCGATCATAGAGGGAAATCAGCTGAGAACGTTTTTATTCCCATCACCCCCGAAACTACAATCAGCAATCACGCAATACCACCCATGTCAGGATCGGCTATTTCACGTACAACTTTGGACAGCAGCGCGCCTCGGGAGTTGCTGAGCAGGGACACTGAACTAAAAAAGAAGGCCGAGGGAGACGAGTGGTTAAAAGGTCTTACCTTTGAAATTCTTGCCCTCCCGGAACGTATTGCTATCAGCATTCGGGGGCGGGATTTTTTCGATTCGGGAAGCCACAAACTCTGCTGGAATGAATTGAAGGAAAAAATAGACCAAGGTCTCGGAATCGGACCGAATTTGCACCATTCTACAGTAATCGTAAACTGGAAATTTCGATTAAAAACCCAGGCTGATTTGGATATCTGTATCGAGCGCCTAACACCGCATGGCCGTCCGATCCATCACGTCGTCGTCCTGTTCTGCAGCACTACTGCAAATGCCAGTGGAAATGCAGGTGTAAAGATAGACGAAGAATCAATAACAAAAGAGGTTGTTGAAATGTTGGAAGCTCAAGACCGGAATTATTGGATGGGGAAGAGTGTTGCACCTTCTGTGACAGATCTAATTCCTGCCAGCAAAGACAGTAATGCCGACGTTGTGTTGGGCAAGCTTCCTGGTGAGGCTCAAGATTCTATTCGACGAAACTTTGGTAACCCCCAACCAGCCCTACCTCGCCCTCCAGCGCCTCTTCCAGAAAACCCTACGACACTCAACCCTACACGGACCAGCATATCGCACAAGCCCCCACCTGGCGTACTTATTGCGCCAAAACCCCCTCTGTGGAGGACACCCAACTCACCTTCAACTTCTCACTCAAAAAAAATACGGACTACAACTGCTGGCACTCAATTTCACTCTTCAACGGTACGCCGAGTTACGCCTGAGCAGCCGTCAGGCCAAATTATGGCTCCCGGTAATAAATCGAGCAACAAAACGGACGACAGTCCCGCACCACCTAGTACAAATGGCGCCCCAACACCAGCAGCAACTAAATGGAGATCCAAACCCTCGACCCGAAATTCGCCGCTTCGGGTTTCTACTCGCTCTCTCCACAATCCAGCACGCGGCGGGGATGTCCAATTTCAGCGGAACACAAGATCGAGTTCTAAGGCTGCAAAATTGAGTTTGTCGGATCAGCTCCAAAAGGAGTCGGAAGTCAAGGACTCCGATCAGCCATCACCGGGCACTGCTTCTGCTGACGTTCATTCGTCCCCACCAAAGAGGCGGCGTTCAACCGGAGGACTGTCTAGGGCTAAAAAGCGGCTTGCGAAGTCAACCAACCCCGCTAGCAACCCACAAGGTGAGATATCCCCGGGTATCCGAAGATTTTTAATTATCCTACTCAACGGTAAATTTATATGGACCGCTTTAACTCAATTTTCAAATAGCATCGACTTCTCAAAATCAGCAGTCTAGTTTGAATGCCTCCAGTACAAGTATGAGACCACCCCCTCGGGATCAAATGGACATTACTACCCCTAAAGCATTAGCGACTACATGTGCGCTTGCCGAAAACGATCCTTTGGAGCCAAGTTCCGTCAATGATGCCATGGATATGGACCCGCCTACCACTAATGGCGCTGAGGGTAGTGCGCAAGGCACAGAGCCTAATGATCTCTCTATAAACGAGGGATCTGTTATAGATAAAGCGAACGCTGGGAACACAGTTTATGCGATGGACGAAGTAGACATCCTTCTTAAAGCCGTTATGGATGTTTACGATTCTGCAGAGGAACAATCCGCTCCCCGACCTATGAAATCCCCTACACTCCCTGTGGATGGGCCGGAAGGAGGCGATACGGCCAATCGAGGAATTGTACCCGTTACTCTTGCTAACACGGCCTCACCTCCGACATCTAATGGGGCTGAGGGTGACATTAGTACCCACGGTAGCAAGAGTTTAATCGCCAAGCCCATGCCTGAAGAGACTCTAGCCGGTCCTCCGCCTAATCGCTCTCCTACACCCGTGGTTGGCGAGCCTAGAGCAGAGATCAGGACGGACACAGGAGCCGAGCCTGCTACTACTACAAAACCTCAGTCCCCGGCCCCAAAAGACAATGAGGGTGGTGGTATCATAGAGAAAAAGAGTTTAATCGTCAAGCTAAAGTCTAAAGGAATTGCTGTACTTTTACCATCTATTACCGACAGTGACGCAACGAACCGGCTCTACGACACTTCAGACCAAGCTTCTGATCAAACCCCAAATCATTGCTCAAACCAATCAAAGCCAAAACCTGTCTGGCCAGTTCCCCCGCCTCCGCTTTCGGCATCCCCCCCAGCCACGAAAATTCAGTCGGTCCCCCGCCCACCTATCTACCGCAAACCAGATCCCCCAGCCCCGAAATCCGCCGAAAACGCCAAAACCACTCCCAACGATACACCTTGGGCACCCAAACAAGCTATTTCAACAACTACCTCAAGTCCAAAGGCTGGATCGTCCGGTGAGAAGCTATCCCCTGAGCCTTCAGGCCCCCTAGTGGCTAGTTCAGATGCTTTGGCAGCCGCACGGAAGAAGGTAGAGCAGGAAAAGGGTTCAAAAAACAAAGCAAAAAATATTCCCCATAACGCATTTCCCACGCCCGTGCTACCCCCGAGGAACCAAGACACTCGCGCTCAATCACCACAGTCACAGCCACCGGAGACTAACTCAGCCCGACCATCGCCTCGGCCATTGACTTCCACCTCTAGTGCGCAAATTGCCGTTCATAAGCCAGCCTCTTATGCAAGACCTTCCCCGAGTTCTGATGCAAAGATTACCAGCGCTGCAGCCATTACGAAATCTGGTGCACACAGAGAGGGCGTTCCGCTTCCTCGTACCGTTCCTAGACTATCCCATACGCCGGTTCCAACTCCGTCGGCACCCACTCCTCTTCCAATAAGTACAACCATCACACCTTCCAAGGACATGGACGACAGCCACTTGATCCAAGGGAAAGCAGGGGACGCTACTATAAATTCCGCGGCCCCACTTCACTTACACAAAGCCTCAGAATCTGCTATGGAGGAACCCTGCTCGAAATTTACACCCTTGGTTTCCAAATCAAATTTCCTCTACTTTGAGCCTTCGGCCGTTAAAAAGTCACCTAGTGGTAAGTTGAAGGAAAATCCATCCTCACCTCTCAAGATTGTTAATGCCCAACCAGGCCCTCACGAGAAACAACCAACCGCTCAGGATCTCGTCCCACTATTCGATTCACCCTCCACAACCCCGCCCGACACTAAGCCCAAACCCGAACGCATGGTGTTCGCCGTAACCCGCTACAATAACAACGCCACCACCCCGCCCCACTGTGCCAAGATCTACGGGCACGAGATCCTCTCGACAGGAGAACCCAACAAGTTCTCCTGGGAGAAACTACGTGAAATTCTGGAATCCCGTCATAAATTCGTCGACTTCAAGGAGTGCCTTGTCATCAACCTTTTCCATGTCGTGGAGGGTGAGAAGGAATTGAATGAGGGCTTAAATATAGGGGTTTACCTCAATACTAATGATGTTCTTATTGTTAAGGTTGATCCTTTAGGGAGACTGCCACCGCCACTAGTTGCTGAGATGAAAGCCGCTAGATTAGTAGCGAGGAAGGCTGGGAGAGAGACGGAATAGCCGCCCAAAAGGCCGGAGGTGCCGTCTTGCTTACTTCGCTCCGGCTTATTTATTTTTATCTGGATCCAATAATTCCATTTGTCGCCTTCAGATATCTTGGGGATCTTTTCACTTTTTTATTCTTCCTTCCCTTCCCTTTATACTTTCTTCTAATTGCTCCAGTCCAATTTTTTCTAATGCTTCTTCTTTCTTTGATTTAGTTTCTTTCATCTCTTTGGGCATCTTCAAGGCATTTTAGATAGGACCGGCATGGCGTGCGTGGGAGGTTTTTGTTCACTTGCTTTTCATATTTACTTACGAGGTCGATGGCAAGATGTTGTATCCACACGTTACATACAATATTCCTATGTATTATTATGGCTTTCCTCTTCCTCTTACGCCAGTTTTGTAGGAGATCCGTCGGTATATACTTTAGTTCTGCGTTCTGGATCTGGGCGCTTTGTTGTTTAGCGTTAGGGCGAGTATCACGGCATTGAGTATGGCAACTTCTTTAGTATCATATCACACCGTTAGTGTACGAGTGAGTCTACGCGATGTTGCCAGTGGATGCAGGCTAATGAGAGTAGAGAGTTAGGTGCCTGAATGTTGCGATAGCTAGAGAAGTGAAGATCTATTATATAGGTCAGAACAAGAGGGGCATGGCTTCGGCGAGAGTAACTTGTTCACAGGTGCGTTAGCTTGCAGTTATATTTGGTGTCAACATGGAGAACCTGCTCCACCCTCAAGAGCATGCTATGTGAGACAATCCCTAACTCACTCTCGCAGCCAGGAAGTTGGTCTCACGAGTGAGATTTCGTGAACTATGATCAACATGAGTCCCCCTAGTCCCTCTATATTTTAGCGTACTACTGCATTACGCATTACCCCCATGCATTCTCCACTGGCTATCACAAGCAGCTAGAGTTTCACGCAAATGGATACAAAAAAATGGTAGTATGTACAGTACTTGCGTTGAAAAATTAAAAAACGCCTACCCAGTCCAGAATACCATAGATATAAAACACCACCCCCATCTAGAAATCATCATCATCCATCCCAACACTAGTCCCACCCCTGTACCTGCCCCCCTCCTCCTCTTCCTCCTCCTCCCTATTCCTTCTCGCTTCCTCCCGACTCGCCCCAATCTTCCTAAGCCCGTCCACAACGCCCTTCGCAAAACCGCGCACCTCCGTAATCTCAAGCAGCCCCAAGTTATTCATCTGCAAATACGTCGCCTCCAACTTTCCCAATCCCTCCCTAACCTTTCCCTGCCTCACCTCTCTCAAACCCCTCAGGAGCACGCGCAGCTCGCCGTCATCACCGCCGAGGTCGTCGGGGCAGCCCTCCAGAAGGAGTTCGGCAGTTTCGAGCCAGCGGTAGGGGAGGTCGGGGCAGAAGAGATTTTGGTTTTCGGTCTCGGTCTTGAGGATCCGTTCGATGTTCGGGGCTGAGAGCCAGGGGGGTGGAACGATGTTGCAACGACGTTGGCGCTTTAGGAGGAGGGCGAGCCAAAGGGGGATTGTGGTGCGTTGAGGAGGGTGAAAGGGAGGAATGTACCCCTAGACGCTTAGTTAATATATCACCGAGCAGAAAAGCGGAGGAGGGGGAAACGAACACCGATGAGGTCGAGCCCGTCAAGACGTTGCCGGGGGATAATAGTTACCGATTGAGCTTCGCAGAGAAAAGCTACTTCCGCCGGCGTTAATGGTCCGCTGGCTGAATGGTTATTGTTGTTCATTATTATAACGATCCGTAACGAGCTAAGAGATGTAGGTAGGTATCCTGGGAACGAAGCAAAGTGAAGTACTGATAAAGAAAAACTGTTTCCCGTGAAACATCCATATAGTATGATATCTCACGCGACTCGAACTTGGAACAAGTGTTCAGGGTTGGGGTTTCTTTCCTTTTGAAAAAAAGAAAAGGTTGTTCGGCCAGTTGTCAGTTACCCTGTCCAACCAAGTGCGCCAAAGAAAGGAAAAAGGTTTATCCAAAAATGTATCACAAACTCACCCTTCCTTTCCCTTACAATAAAGTCCTTCGTTTCCTGGACGATAACATAATAGAACAGGAGCGAGAAAAGAGAAAAATGGATCATATCCTGGTGCCGGGAGTCTCTGCCCTGCTTATTGGCACAGCAATTGTATCTACATATATCAATTACGTTGTTCCAGAGCCATACCTCGTTCGTCCCCGCCCCTCTATCTCCTCCCTAATATCGGACTACCGAAAAAGAATGGGAGAGACTAATTCACAACGAACAACACACAGGACGAAGTCTTCCATATCCCCCAAGCCCAGGCCTACTGCCGCAACGCCTTCAAGACTTGGGACCCAAAACTAACCACTCCGGCAGGCCTCTACTTAACCATATACCCACTCTCCTACGTCTCAAAATGCACCCCTGCGCTCCTCCGTTCCGTAAACGCGTGGGGCATCGCGGTCCTCATCCCCATATTTGTCTACAATATCCTGGGTTACATACACCCCCGCAAGCAGCGGTCGGAAGCCGTTCATGAGGCTATTAACGTCGCGTTGTTCCCACTCCTGTGGTTCTTTTCAGGATTGTTTTACACAGATGTTTATTCCACGGTTTGGGTGCTTTGGAGTTATCTTGCGTGGCTGAGGGGCTGCGTGGGTTGTAGTTCCATCACGGCTTGGTGGGCGCTTTGGTTTCGGCAGACGAATGTGTTGTGGACGGGGTTTTTTATTGTGTTGGAGGTTGGGAGACGGATTAAGGGCTTGCACGAAAAACTTGTGGATGGTGAGGGGAAGGCGGCGACTGGAAAGACGGTTCCAACTAGTAGCGGGAAGCCCATGGGGAAAAGGAAGAGGGGGAAGAAGAGAAGAGGGAGAGTCGAGATTGAAGAGAAGAAGATGGAGGAGGGCTATGAGGCTAGCCTTGAGGCGGAAGTGGAGGATGGGCCATGGACAATTGATATCAAGAGTAACGGAAATGTGAAGGGGAGAGGTGTCAAGAATAGTGGGTATTGGAGGAAGCTTATTGAAGCGATGAGGAAGGTTCAACCTTGGAATCCGGTCTTCGACGATGAGGTCACTGCTCAAGGTATTCCTCTATCCACGACCACCCCGTCTCTCCCGACTAACTCACCACCCAGACTTCTTTTTCCGAACCCCCATAACCCACCTATTCTCCATAATCTCCAACGCCCCAACTGTAATCTCCTCCACCTTCCCATACCTCCTAGTCATCCTTTCCTTTGCTATCTTCATCGTCTGGAACGACTTTTCCCTAGTTCTCGGCGATAAATCCGCCCACCAACCTACCCCCCACCTCCCACAAATATTCTATTTCACCCTCTTCACCACCATAACCTCCCTTCCACTCCTACTCTCCCCGAATCTCCTCTATCACTTTTACGACCAGAACATCGGGATATACCCCACCACCCTTTCATCCTCCTCTCGCTCCCGCAAATCCCCCAAACTAACGATCCCCTACACAAAACTCCTCCGCACAACCATTCTACTCACCATAATCTTGGCAATAATTTGGAGAAACACATACTTCCATCCCTATCTCCTCGCTGACAACCGGCACTACGTTTTCTATATCTTCCGTCGAACACTCCTTGCGCACCCTCTTATCCGCTACCTTGCCGCGCCAGTATACTTCGCAAGCACCTGGACAGTTCTGTACGCGCTCAAGTCCAGTCGCAGCGTGAGCGTGCTATGGGTGTATGCCTGGGCGATGGCGGTTATTGGCACATTGGTGACGGCGGGATTGGTAGAATTCAGGTATTTCGTGCTCGGGTGGGTGATCTGGAGGGTTAACGTTCGCGTCGAGTCTGTGTGGAGGAGGTGGACCGAGACTGTCGGGTTTGTTTTCGTGAATTTGGCGACGGTGTATGTGTTTACCCAGTGGGGGTTCGAGTGGAAGCAGGAGAGGGGGGTTGTGCAGAGGTTTATGTGGTAATTTGTGGGGTCTAGGGGGGGTCCTGGGTTCGCACGAGGCATGGCGTCACTCGAATTTGATCTTTGGCTTTTCATTTTTACTAAGTCAAATAAATAGTTAAAAGGGGAGGAGGGAAGAATGAATATACCCAGTGGGTTATCTAGCTGCTTGAAGGAATATCTGGGGATGCCCCCGAACGGTATTCCTCTTGTAGGTATCATACAGCACTTGTAGAGTAACCCCCAGGTCTATAAAATCAACCTTTTTGCTCAAGAGCACGAAATGCGGAGATTATTCATCCGATAGTAATACACAAACCACATAAGACAGGCGTCGCACTACGAGATGTTATTGTCGAGTCGTGAGGAAACGGTTGGGAAGGTGGGCTATATCGTGGGCGAGGTACTATATCCCCAAAAATTCAGTTGTGACTGGAAAGGTCTAGACAAAATGGCCAGACATTGGTCCCCTATCTCTCCCATACGTTTCAAGAGTGCTAACCTTGGCAAAGATAAAAACAGACAGAAGAAATATAGAAGAACCCAGCAATAAAACTTTCACCTACTATACTATACATTCATACCCTCCGTCCTAGTCACCCAACCTATGCAAAATCGAAGGTGTAAGTTAGCTAGGCCCAAGCTAGCTGTCCTTACATACCCTCCAATAGAAACCACGGCTCATATTATCAGACAACGTTGACCTAGGACATAAAAATAGCACGTAAAACACTTTACTCCAAGGTGATAAATCGCTGAACGAGCATCATATCATGGTAAGAATAATAGAGATTTTTAGAAACACAAAGTGGATTGTGTTGCTTTATTTGCCAATAACCTATGGGAGGACCTAATCAGCTAACCTTGATTTCTGGGGGTGTGTGAGGCAGTGAGCTCTGGATACACTGCACGAGCATGATACAGGATCGGCCCAGCGATGGATCTGGAAGTATTACATTCGGCGTAGAGAAGGTCCTTTTCGCCCACCAGCCACCCTGCCCGTGTTCGGACGTCGTAATGTTCAGAGGTCTTCCCTGTGCTTTATCATTTTATAGCTCTTATATCCGCTATTTCTTTAGCTATCAGCTAATTCAAGTCTCATATACTCCTCTCAGAGGTTTACTGCATTGAAAGACCTTGTACACCGAGTGATTCCTTGTGAATGGTTCTTTGCTATCCCACCAAGAAAATTGCAAAAGCAAAATATTTGCAAAATTCCGGATGTAGTTTACATGGCCAGATATGATATCATACACTCTTATGACTGACATGCAGCGCCGACACCTTGAGAACTTGTTCGTGGCCTCTGGTGGTTAGGTTCAAGTTATTACTCTCCGGTAGGGCAGCGATCCATGAAATGGCGACACAGTGTGAGTGTTCAAGCTCGGTAGCTCGGGGCGCGGTGTGAATAGTGTGGGGTATACGTACAGTAGTTTCGTCACTGTTTCTGCTGCTGTGAGGGGGGGCATTGTGCGTGAGTGCATGGGAGAGTGATTTGCGGGCTGGGAGAAGGTTCTGCTGTTCAGGGTACTCGATACAGAGAGGCCCGGGGCGCCTTTTGCTGCCCGCATTAAATAGAGTAGTTGATGGCAGTGGCAGCTCTGTGAAAGGTCCCGAAATTTCCCCTTATAAGGAGAGAATTGATGAATTGGATGTGGTTAACTTAGTGGATTGGCTACCGTATACTCCTTTACCCGGAGGTCTCCTAGTGCCCATTGCACTAGAAGCCCTCAAAAGAGGGTCCGGCTCTTCGACACTCTTGTTGATGGAGGCCGTTGCCCCTTTTCCATTTGCCGACATTCTATGTGAGTAGCTCGTATTATTGTGTTTCCTCCTCATATAATTCGAGAATAGAAAGAGTCACTAGTGGTCTCTTTTTTCTTTCTACGACGGTACAGGCATATTTGGAAGGATCATGGCTTTGCCCGGCTATCGAAGGTGAATTTATCTAAAGCACCAATAGAGGATATCTTTCCTTCCATCACACCCCTCCCTTATGCATAAACTTCTCCCGAATGTGTACTAGAAAACGCAAGACAGACGTTTCTATCCTAGAGATCCAATCGGGCCTCCGACCCACCCCCTCCCCCCTCTTTCTGTTTGATTCCCCTAATAAGCCACGGTGTATTCCTACGGACCGTACGGGGTGGAAAGTGGAAAGAAGGATGTAAGGAAGAAGGAAGGGAAGAAAGAGAGAGCAAAACCACAACAAGGATTCGAGAAGGCTCGTTCCGAATCCACCTTATTCCAGATTGGCGGAGGGGTTATGGTGAAGGCCCAAGACCGGTATAAAATCAACACAAGCAGACCGGAGGGAGGAGAGTCTGGAAAAGTAAACTATTTCCGTCTCTCTTACGGCACCTCGAGATACCTCTTGCAGTATTATATCTTGCTCTCCAGATTGGCCTCCTGCTCGACAACCCGAGCAGACTAACTGAGCGAACTATCGTAGTGCCCCACAATGTCTTTATGTCTCTACCCAGGCCCGAGAAGGGAATTAGTACTCCCTTCTAGCGCCAAATATCCATCACAAAGTGATACCGTGACTCGGTTCTAGCAGTCCTTGGAGAACTCCCTTCTGCAATTGTCATTATCTCGTTCTTCCCTTTAATGTATGGCTCCCGAATCCCGGGGCAGCCTCACAAATGGTGGTTGAGTATAGCGGGGACAGAAATGTTCCATGAAACACACCGCACAGTGGACATGGGTCCTTAATACGAGCACCATGATGAGTGACGCCATGTGTAGCGGAAATCACGACACCCGGAAGAACAAACACACATTCTTTTAACGCAGAAAAACTTTGGAGGGGTCAACGTATTACACTGCAGTAGAAAATCTTATGTGTGGGTATAGCAGTCAATGATTGGCTCGCGCGGCGATAGAGAGAAAAACTAGAGGACTATGTGGGAACTGTCACAGGATGTGGACAAGAGCGTGAGGTAAGGAAAAACAACTTCGTTCGTTTTTTTGTTTACTTCTAAACTAATGGTAAAGACAGGTGTATAAGCAAAACATAAACAATGTATCCTGACCATTCCATAAATCACCACACCTACCCGTATCTCTCCAAGCATGCTACCCTTTCCTCCATACACTCCCGTGATAACAAAGGAAAGACACGTCCGTAGAATCAATCTTCTGTCAATCTCTGAACCTCCACACTAATCCATTGAACCTCTGAACTCTCCGCCAGACTCCCGAAACCTCCACAATCTACCTCAATCAATCAACATCCATCTAGAACCTTCAACAGGATATGGTCCCTTAGTGTGAACTTGTTTGCGATAATTGAAGTCAGCAGCTAACACACTCTATAAGGGAGCTCAGCCGGGCATTTCAATCCAGCTATTCAAGGCATAGCTCATCACTCGTGCTGGCCAGCAGTGCAACTTCCAGTGCCGCCATAGCGCTCTCATGCTGCCTATATGAGAGTTTCTTTATGCCCTCAAATGCTCAGTTTATGTCTATGTTTGTTTGCCCTTAAAGCCCGGGTCAGAGCTCGGGTTTTATTGCGCTTCTTCTCACCTAGATATCATAGCCATCCCTCCCGTCCCTCTTATCCATCTCCCCTTAACTTCTTGCTATTTTTTCATTAATAGCGGGATCAGGGGAAGTGTGAGCTCTTCCATATCCCGTTATAGAGAGCTAGTCTATATCCTTACAGTCGTCCCATTCCGAGTAAGTCTTTACTGGACAACCATCGCCAGATCCCCTTACCATCCTTCTTCCACGAGCTCTCGTGTATTGGCCACCTACTACCGTCGAGTGATCAGGAAGTACACAATTTAGATTATCTCATTCTACACATTCATTATCACTCGGCTACGATGAGGTTACGCGAAGATGAAAGATTGGAGAATGATAGTCAATTACGCCTTCTGTAAATTCTCCGTCAGCTCCCAAGTTTGTACCGCCGAATCTAAAATCCTATAGCCCCCATGACCATCCTGTGGTACTGCATTCTACGTTCCTTGCAGGTAGTATCAGCGATTACTAACACAACCTATTGGTTTGATGACCTCGGACTTCAGGCCGATTCCCGCGACTCCCCGATCCACCTGCGACGCCAATCACACAAAAAAGAAAGGATTACGAAGGCTTCAGACTCTATCTTAAGCCTTATCAGGAACCTCGTAAATTAATTACAATTCAACTGTCAACTAGCTACGTGCGATGAGCCCACAGAATAACGCTTCGACCCGTAAGATACAAGTGTGGTGACACTGCTCACCATCACTGGCTCGTTTTACTTCAAAAATGCCATCTTTTGCCACTCTAGAAGGCAACGGCCTACTACCCAATCAGCACAAAATCCCGGGAGCGAGAAGGCTTATTACGAGAAAAATATTGAAATCTTGAGCGTTTTCGTGCAGATTGGGGTTGTGTGCGAACAGCCAAAACCAGAACCCCTTCCCCTAAACACCTTCTCGATTTCCTATGGATGTATACTGTATGATACGAAGCTCTCTCGGGCTTACTCTGATATCAGTGCTCCTCGGCACAGAATTGTCCACACTAGGCAGCTCCAGCGCAATTGACAAAAATGGCCTAAACTTAGAATCTTTAGATTCTTGGTTGCTTGTAGACATATCCATATAATAATTCATAAGAGAGTTGGGGTCTGAAAGTGTAAGTGTGATGCCGTAAGAGCTCGAATAACTAGACCCCGCGCTAAGAGGTCCGAGATTCCCTCTCTTGGACAGGGAGGTGAAAAGACTGTGGCCCCCCAGCCCCCAGCTTAAGACAAAAAAAAAGGAAAAAAGTGCCACACCTTACCAGCAAAGGCAGCTCCAATGTTCTAGAGCGAGGTTCAATTATTCGGATTCTTGCGGTAATGTCAGAATGTCAGAATGTCATTTTTTCCCCAGCGCTTTTGTGTGGTTTTGCTGTGTTCTAACGGGTGCTTTTCGGTGCCAGGGGTTTGCGGGCTTGGTGCAACACCACGGATGCAACCCCACCCGCCGCAACGCCTGCGAAATCCAGAAGCTTGACATTCGAACAACTTTAAGCCTCCAAATT